CCCCGGTCCATTGGACCTCATTTTTTGATCCCGGCCCGGCCCAAGTTTTCGTGCCGTGCCGAGCACGGCCCATTAATATTCGTGCTCGTGCCGTGCCGTGCTGGGCCGGCCCGTCCCGTTTGACACCTCTATTATCATCACTATAATAAAACTTCAGTAAAAAAACACTTATGAATAATTGAAATCCTATCCATATTGATTTCAAGTTTCAAAGTTTTGCTCTTTTACAACAAACATTTGAGTTTTGACCTCTTACATGTTGGAAACTGTGAAGACTTGGGCCTACAAATGCAAGCAGAAAAGAAATATTGCATGAACCCAAAGCAGAAATATAATCGTTGGGTTTTCACATAGAAATTTCAGCTCCTCGGCAACCCTCAACTGGTAAGGCCCAATATACAATGAAGTTTGTACACGAAATGAAAGCCATCAAGAATTTTGTTAAGTTTTTGATGTGGGACTCATGTATTCTTCAACAAAAGAGTAATTAACCATTTACACAAAACCATCGCATGACAATTTAAGTAGATATGGATTGATTATTACTTAACAGTGACACATACCCTCATATCATACAACCTTTAACGCGAATAATAAAAGAGTTGAGTTAGTGACACAAGAAATTATAGAATAGTACGATAGTGTTGTTACGTGGTACATCTTGTACACATGTTATAATATGAGTGGATGACATAATTTATTTTCCCCTCTTTTAGAGAATAATATATATAAATATCTACTTATATTATAACATGTGTACAAGATATACCAAGTGGCCATACTACCCTAATATTCTATAATCTCTCGTCAAACATGAATAATTGCTAATGGGTTCCAACCACAGTGCTAGTGGCTTCTTCCTTCGCCATGGCACCTCAATTCGAACTAAAATCAAACTCAAAATAATAATAATAATAATCGAAACTCCATTAGGACATTTAATTAGTATTACTATCTACAGAAAATGATTAGGTTTTTAATTTCTTGATATGATATATATGAATTGTTGTAGAATTATATGCTTACTTATTAACGTTTGCTAGCGTAAAAATTAGATAAATTGTTTTTTTTTTTAAATTAAAAAAACTTACCAAAAATATATATTTATTTTGTGGATCAACTTGGGCTTGGGCCCATCACAGTCCCCGTTGGTAGATCTGACAGTTGGCTGGGCAAATGGTGCGCCGCGACGGGAAGAATCAAATGACGAAAACACCCCTAAGAAACTGTTCCATTGACATCCTTGTCCGAAAATCAGAACCTTTCCCCAACGGCTACTTGCAGAGAAGGCAAATTTAAAACTAACGACTCTTTCACACTTCACACTCTTCTTCGCTGACCTCCATTTTCCCAAATCCAAACTCGCTTTCTCTGTCACTCACACAACCCAGGCTCCCTTATCTTTCTCTCTCTGTGGAAAATGGAGGAAGAAACTAAGTGCGTGCAGATCGACGGCGATGAAGGCGGGGACGAGTTCTACGAGAAGATCGAAGCGCCCAAGTTCGTCGACTTCACCGAACCCGACCCTTACCGACCCGACGACCGCTACTGGTTCTGCATGCGAGTTGGTTCGTTTCTCTCTAACCCAGCAACCCACAAATTTATCTCTTCCCTTTATTTATTTGTTTTTCACTAATCAGATGAAGCTCTTGCTTTTAAAGTTTTAAGCTTGGAAATGAATTTTATGTCTCTGTTAGTTTTTGATCCGCTTTATTATATTTGGTTCTGTTTTTGATGTGTTTGATTTGGAGCTCTCTGTTTTGTTGCTGGGAAATCGAAGGGGTAAATTAATTAACTGATGATTCTTTATTAGGAAATGAACAAAATCAACTAAAAGATAATTAATTTGAGTTGAAGAATGGTAATATGCAATTCAGAATCACAGTGAGTCAGTGATAGGGCTAAGTGAGGAAGCCTAATTATAGAAATAAACACCTCTTTTTTTTTTCTGATAAGGAAGTTTGTGTTGGTGTTTATTTTGTAGGGTGTGATCAAAAGCATGAAGAAGAATTAGACTCTGAAGCAGTCTACAAAAACTTTGTTCTTCGTGTGAGTATTAAATTTTGTTTCCGGTTCGAATTGGAATTACACAGTTCACTTTATTTTGATATGACAATAATGAGTTTTGCAGGTCATGGCAGCAAGAAGTCCTAATGTAAGACACAGAAAAACACCAAGGTATATATGCAAATCTTTCAATTGATTAAATTCCAATTTGGTTTTCATAATTCTGTAATTGGGCTTATAATGATATACCCTTTTATTTTTATTTGCTATGTAGTTTGAAATGCCCACTTACTGCTCCTGCAAAATCTTCCAAGCCTAGAGTATCAAGGTTGGCCCTGATTTCTTCGTTCTCTCGTAAGATGGTTGATGTCAAAGATAAAGCCAGACCTCTTCAAAAGATCAGTGCAACCCCAAATGTTAAGGCAAAGCAACCATCTTCTGTGGCCAAAGCTCTCACTAGTCCAAGGAATAGAAAACCCATCTCAAATCCAGACACATTTCGAAGTGTTAGGAACCCCAAACTGAAAAATGTTGCAGTGCCAAAGAATAGGGTGGTGGCTAAAGCTCTGGTATTTCACTCTCCAAAGAAGGCTGTAAGAACCAAAGTTTCTAAGGAATGGGGTAGCCCTGTGGGAAAAATGTGTTCAGCCATGAAGAAACTTGAGATCACCAGTGGAAAGAAACATGTATTGGGGTATAAAAAGCCATTGCCTTTAGATACTTCAAGAAAACAATTCAGAGGGCGGGAGGTTAAAAGCCGGGTTTTTGATTCATTGCATTCCAACAATTGCAAGGGCCAGGAAGCCAAATCCATGAAGAGAAAGAACAAGGAAACAGACTTGAGACAGTGTTGTGATCCTGTGCCTCATGAAGGGGTTAATGACAACGATACCACTGACATGGAGGTTGATGAAAAATCAAGAAATGGTACTCTTGAAGGGTTCTTCTTGTCAGTTACTGCTAAGAGTAGTGGAGTAAATGGTGACGAGCAGTGTATGGGCGCTGGAAAAACCTCAGAACCTCCACTAGGTGAGAATCAAGTTGAAGTCCTATCAGAGACCTCCAAAGGTGACCCTACCTCCTTGTCAAGTTCAAAAGACAGGGATTCAGAAGAGAATGATGATAAGGAGAATGCCAAAGATGGAAATGGTCATGTGGAGAAAATAAAGTCAAGTTCAGAGAAGGCGAACACCGTTGAGAACATGGACAAAGATGATGATAAAGAAAATGCTTTGGCCTCTGACAACCCAGAAAATGAAAATGAGGTATTTGAGAGTGATGATAAAGAAAATAATAAAGCTTCTGATGAGAACAGGTGTGTGGACTTGTGCTTCTTTACTTTTCAGTTCTCTGTATTTTTTGTAGAACTCAATTGTAATTAAAAAATTTCAAGTGATTACAGAGACCTGAATCCTAATGGTCACTCCAAGAGGAAAAATCTGGGCAAGCATGATCCTTATAAAAACTCACAAAAGGTGGCTTCTTATAACCCCTTGAAAATCACACGATAATATCATATCTTCTAGTGTACTATCAGTTTCTGTTAATCTTTTGTCGTTCATGTTTTTTTATGCCTGCTAAGATTTGAACAATGATGCAGGTCAATCAAGCTCAAGAGAGGAAGAAAGAGAGCTCTACATCTGCTGCCACCAATGCTCAAGGGATGAAGAATAGGAAACCAAAGTCTACAAACCCTAAACCCTTTAGGTTTAGAACTGATGTATGCGAAACATTTTCTGACCATTTTCTTTAATAAACACCCAACGTCCAGGATATCTGATATGATTTTGGTTCTCTTTCTAGGAAAGAGGGATGCTTAAGGAAGCAACTTCAGAGAAAAAAGTTCATGCACCTCTTAAGGAAATCACATTAGTCAAGCTCCCAGGTGCAAAGCCAATAAATAAACAGAATGTGATACAGGTAAGTCTGTAGTTGAACTTTCTTTTACCCCTTTCTAGCATGTCATAAATAAAGCTCCAGGCTAATACATTCATTCCTGATTAGATGACTAAAATCTGCCTTGGACAAAGTGATAATGAGAATGATACCCAAGGAGGTAGTGAAAAGAGATTTGACAGAAGAACACGACTAGATGAAAATGTAAGTCTCGTTGTCATAGAGAAGCTGAATATAGATTACTCTTGAGGGTCTTTGCCTAGGTATCTGATCAAGTTCTTATGGTACTATGCAGGGAAAGAAAGGAGCTAAGAAGACTTCAAAAAGAAACTTCGAAAGAAATTTGTCTTTAGTAACTCCGCAAAATGAACCTGGCCTGGACAGAATACAAAAACTAGATAAGGAAAGCACTAAATCACCAATGGTGCAGAAAAAATTTGTGAGACCAAGAGGGTGAGTACTTTTTCTTCTCAAAACTTCGAAATTAATTTGTCTGCAGTATCATCTTCAGTGACAAAGGGTCTATGTTCATCAAAACTTAATCATACTAGCCTTTTCTTTTGCAGGGTAGATTCAACTGGGAGGAAGGCAATGGTTTCCCCCAAGACACCTTGTCAACTCAGTGTAATAAAGGAAACCTCGTGGACAAATATTAGGCCCAAGAAAGCAGCAAACCCATGCAGTGCTTCTCCAGCAACCAATTGCACCACTTCCAGGTCATTGTCAAGGGGAAGAAGGCCTGCAACCATCCCAAAAGAGCCACACTTTCACAGTATTCACGTACCAAAGAGCTGCACGGGGCTGCACAAGGAAAATGAGTTAATGGATGCCCAACAAAACTAACTTATTTTCTTCTGTTGTATGGTATCTTCTTGTTTGTTCAATAACATCATTGAATTGTATTTGCTTGCTTATATGTATTCTGGTTGTTAGGCTTGGGGGGGCGTACTGAAACATGAGAGGATTGAATTGTATATTTATTCATTTAAAGGGCAGAGGCAATATATACTTGCCCTTTAATCAAACATAAGAGAGGATTGAATTGTATTTATTCATTTAAAGGACAGAGGCAATATACCTGGTCCTTAATTTTCTAATTGTTTACCTTTTAGTTACTGAGACTTATATATATACTTGTCCTTTAATCAAACATGAGAGAGGATTGAATTGTATTTATTCATTTAAAGGACAGGCAATATACCTGGTCCTTAATTTTCTAATTGTTTACCGTTTAGGTACCGAGGCTTATGCACCTGGTGCAATTTGCAAGCTCTCTGACTCCCAAAATGTGGGAACCAACCATCTCTATCTTTAAGATATAATTAATATATACATATATATACATATACATATATATATATATATGTATAAAGAGAGGATAGGAGGGAGGGAAAATAGAAGAGAAAAAGTTGATTATTTTAATTATTAATTTAAAGCTAAAAAAAATTAAACCATTCTATATGTTTTCTCCTCTTTCTTACCCGGACTGAGAAATGAAAGGTAGAGTTTCAATTTAGAGGAAAACAAATTTATGAGCATATCAAACAGAATGTCTACATATTCAACAGTCCTCATCCAATTCCCCGCCAAACAGCTTTGATACAAAGGGGAACACTAAACTGATACAATATTCCAACACTTCCATTAGCAATTATTTGCATTAAGCCGGAACGGACTTGTTTGGCTTCTTTGTGGATGTCTGAATTCCTTGTGAAGATGAATTCACGCTTTCTGACCGGAGTCTACACCCACCACAGGGGAAGACTCTGGCTTATTCTCTGATATGTAGTCTTGTCTTTGTTTTCCTATGCTCCTTTCTTTATGTGTTTCAGCTTCTCATTTGCAGCCACAAGTTCTGCAGCTATTCCTGGTTCATTAGCAGAATGCCCTGCATCTTGAATAACCTGTTAAGAGCAAAATTATTTAGTAATTTCTTCATAAAAAGGGAACTAAGACTACCACAATTCAAGTGAGTGAAATTAGCGGTACACATGATGCAGGACGTTCTGCATCTTACACAGTTGCATCAAATATTTAGAATACACCTGAAAATTTCCCTTTATTGGCTTCATAAACACGAGAACACATAACTTTAGTCTACTTTTTGCTCATGCAGAAATAATTTTACAGCAATACAAATGCTTGGTATATAAAGCTGAAACCAGTTTACAGCAAGATAAATGGTCTACTTACCTTGAGATCAGCTTCTGGCCATGCTTTATGAAGATCCCAAGCTGACATCATGGGGCAGCAAACATCATATCTTCCCTGCAAAATCAATTGTTATAGTTCTTTCAACTCACAATTGATACTAGATTGACAATGTTCCCTCAAGGTGCACACATAAGCACATATGTTTACTGGATGTGGAAATAATGTTGGACATATTTATCATACTAATGGAGAAAATTTACATATATAAATATATCAAGGTTCCTACAATATCAAATCTCAGTTATTAGTCTTCTATTATCAAAAATTAAGTTTTTGCCTTCAACCCCATGATGCACACAAACATCATCCACCGAAATAAATGCATAAAAATGGGCAGTAAGCAATGGGTCTATTAACTCCATTATCCATTTAAACCAATTCCTAAAAAACGTACTCATAAATTTTAAATGATACCCTCAGCCAAAAAAACTGACCCAGCGACAGCAGATGATACATCATTAGGTCACCAAATATCGTGCCCCTAATTAAAAGAGTATGTCCATGATGTATGGAAGAATATAAAATATTTACCTGTACGATTGTAGTTTTTATATGCCTTATCTTATCAATGTTATCTAACAGGAACCCATCTGAAGGGAAAAATCCTCTGTTCACAAAGTAATGATTTTCAATCCTTGCAAATGCCTGGACACAGCAAAGCGAATACCATTATAAGTCAAAAGGGAATTTCAGTCATCAGTGCATAAACTATTAAAGATACTTTTATACTCATCCATGAATCAACCTACCAATGAAAACTTATCGTCCTCTCCTCTCTTGATGTTATCATTATTTGGAAAAAGATGGGCAGTCATCATTTCCCACATGGTCCATGCTCTAGCAGCTGCATACTAAGAAATTTGGAAAGATTTAAAGAGAATGAGCTTAAAATATCATTTTTTTCAAAGCAGCATATGCCCAAAACCACGCACATCTTACTTGTACTTCCTGATCATCGGAGTTTAATCTCTTCCCGTAGGCATCGACAAAACTTTCCCTCTCATTTTCTGGAATAAGATCTCGAAATGGCTCCCAAGCTGTATATTTGAAAATAGCACAAGCAATCAGCCACTTAAAAAACTAATAAACATGCCAAGGCCAAGTATAGTTACTGGAAATTAAAAAAAAACTGTCTTTGTTCATGATTTTTAAAACTATAAATCATTAACAAGTTTTATCAACTTCCAACATTACTACATCAGAAACTCAAGCCCCCAACAATGTTTTGTAACATCTAATAATTGGAATCTCTTAATAATAATAGTTGGAAATTCCACAACTGCACTTCTTATGTGACTGATATAATGGAAGAACAGTGCAGTAATCATAGTCAATGCAAAAAGGGTTTGGGAAACTACGAAAATGTACTTCAAAACATCCATTTATAGAAATTTCTAACCGAAACCTGAAAGGTAGATATTATGGCTTATGCCAACAGAAAAGAAATTGTAACATACCGTCAGGAAATATGGAAGCAGCACCACCCTCATAAAACCAATCAATCTCTTTCTTTCTCAAAAGAAAAATCCCTCTAAGAACCATGCCAGTAACCTTATAACAACATCAAAGTATAGTAAAAAACTGTACCATGTCGTAGATAATTAAAAGTGCAGATGACCTGTATCAAGAGATTTGGAATCCCAGCAAAAGAATTAATTGTAAAATCAACAAAGTTATGCACCTTATCAGGGTGTGATTGGCTATATGCAAGAGCAAGTGTACTACCCCATGACCCACCAAAAACCTGAATGACAGAGTAAAGAAAATTATATGTATTCAGGCATATCAAACAACCGTGTTTTTACTTTATCGAGAGCTAGAAATTACATACTGACCTGCCATTCTGGAATTTCCAAGTGTTCCCTGAGCTTTTCAATGTCACTAATTAGATCCCATGTGGTATTTTCTACCAAGCAAGCATGTGGGGTACTTTTCCCAGCACCTCGCTGGAGATAAGGAAATAATTTCAGATAAAAACTGTGGGAGAAATTAAAATGTATCTAATAACTTAGCATAAAGGTTAAAGTCCTAACCTGATCAAATAGAATGATTCTGAAAAAATCAGGATCAAAGAATTTGCGATTACTTGGTGCAGTTCCTCCTCCTGGACCCCCATGAAGAAAGACTACAGGCTGCAGGATAAAATTCACAACATTTTAAACAAAAATTTAGTATCAAAATCACCAACCAACATGGAACTTTCAGAAATACAATATAAAATTAGTACACTACATCTTCTTTAAACAACACCCATCTAATATGTAGCCACATATTCTTACTATGGAACATTTTATTCATTCGATAAAACAGACAAGGAAATTTGGGTAGGCCCAGAAATGAGAAGAAAAATTAAAGTTTCCTTTTTTCCTTTTCACCTGGAACACGTAGGTGTTAAGTCAGCATACGCGGACAAGAGGGTCAGAGTGAAGATGAATCAGTGTTGGACCTCACATGAAAACCTTAACCAATGCGAGGTACCTCCACCAACAGACCTTGCCAGTTGACAGTTCAACAAAGTTTTAAAACATACAACAAGTCTCAAGAGGGCAAACCATTCAAGAACCATCAAGCTACAATAACAAGAAGAAGGCACACTTTACAATAGCAGAGCTCATTTACAAAATGCAAATCCTATTACTTTGAGATGATTTGCAAATCCCAGTTCTTAAAGATTTGGAATTTGAAATCTTAATATATGAAGAATTCACACTCTAAATGAACAAGATGGAAAAGAAAAAAAACTCAAAATGAAATAACTTGAAAAATCCAAATCGCATAGGCAGTGGGGCACTTACATGCCCATTTGGATTTCCAGACTCCTCCCAATAGATTGTATGAATATCCGAAACCTTCAGAAACCCAGAACTGTACGGCTCTATATTCGGGTAAAGGTTTCGGTTGAATTCCGGGAATTCCTTCACCGATTCCATCAAATCACCTGGTTTGAGCTCACTCTCAAAGCCAACACTTTGCCCGCGTAAAACTAAATTCCTCTTCCCTGTTACAAACTTTCCTGTCAAGTTGGGATTTGTGTGTGAGAGAGAGAGAGAGAGAGAGAGAGAGAGAGAGAGAGAGAGAGATAGAGAGACCTGAAGCTGAAGGAGTGAACTTCTTGGAGCATGAGAGAGAAGAAGATGAAGAAGAAGTGGAGATGGGTGGAATGAGGGAAAGGGATGCGCAATAATAGGAATTGGAACTCAATGCTATTCCCAAGATGCTCAACCTCATCATTGTTCTTCTTAGGTGGCGTTGGTTAATTGCTAATCCAAATTAAAATGGAATGGAATAATTTTTTTATTTTATAAGACAAAATGGGAATCTATATATTCTATACTATAATAATAGGAGGGAAATTATTATAATTTAATTTTTTTTTTTAAAGAAAAAAATAAGAGGATGGATAGAATGGAATCCAAATTAAAATAAGAATAAAATGTAACCAAAGTGATTGCTTTATTACACAATTATATTACAAAGTAACCCCCTCTGAATTAGCAGGAAAAAGAAGAGGGGGCAAAAAAAAAAAAAAAACCAAAAAAACTAAACTAAACTCTCCTGCAAGCATAGATCTAAATACTAGAGCTCCTTCCCAAGTTTTGTAGGCAGGAGCTTCACTGGGAGCTAGGAAGACTATTGGAGTTCACAGACAGAGCATTGCTTGTGTATTTTTTGTATTGTGTATGATGGGCTATATATGAAATGAACCATAACTTCTGCCTTCAACTGTGCTACTTCTGTGCCATCTTGTGGGTATTTTTACCCTTCTTTGGTAATATTTATGCTGGTGAGTTTACGAGGCTCTGCCTCTTCCAGCATTTGAACCACCATTCTCATGGAGGGCCTTAGAACCGGCACCCTAGCGGTGCAGTGAATTGCAATGCTCAGCACCTTGATGGCATCTTCTTTTAGATCATCTGAGATGCTTGAGTCTACCAATTCAAGCACACTCTCCTTGTACTGCATTTTGCTGCAAACCCAGCTCACTATATCCTTGTTGTCTCCAAACTCAGGCTCAATTGGCCTCTTCCCTGTGACCAATTCCATCAAGACCACCCCAAAGCTATAAACATCACTCTTCTCATTGACCTTGCATGTATATGCATACTCTGAACCACAAAACACAAAGACAAATTTAATCAGATTTTTCAGTGTCAACTGTTACATGTTAATTCATGAAGGAAAAGAAAAGGAAAGAAAAATTACCTGGAGCTATGTACCCAACTGTCCCAGCAATGACATGAGTGCAATCTGCACCAACCTGCATAATCTTGGCAAGCCCAAAATCAGCAATTCTTGGCTTCCAATCCCCATCCAGCAGAATATTGCTAGACTTCACATCCCTGTGTATCACAGGTCTGTGATTGCCATAGTGAAGATACTCCAACCCCATTGCAGCCCCCAATGCAATCTCATGCCTCACCTCCCACCCCATCTTCATCTTGTTACTTGTGTGCAGCTGATCCCATAAGCTCCCATTGGGAAAGTACTCATAAACCAGCAGATTGCTGTCCTCACTTGTTATGCTGCAGTAGAGCTTCACCACATTCACATGCCTCAGAGAGCTCAGTGTGGCCACCTCTGCATCATACTCTGAGGACCTGGGTTTGCACTTCTTCAACATGGAAGCGCTGCTTCGGTAACTTTTTCGGTCACAGGTGTCTGAAGTGGTCCAAATGTGCTTTACAGCAAGTTCTTTCCCATCACTCAGTGCAACCTTGTATACATTCCCTGACCCTCCTTTGCCAATTAAATTCTCAGCTCTGATTGAGTCCAGGATTTCCTTTTCTGTGAAGCTTAGCACATGGTACTGCTTCATAGTCCAAGAATCACTCTTCAATGGATGGTCAAGACTCTTCCTCCTCAGCTTCAAGAGCGAGAAAACAGCAACCACAACAAGCAGAACAAGTACTCCAGCAATGAAACTGGACAGGAATATTCGGGGTCCTCTAGAAGTTCCTGAATTTGAAGAACAAGACCTCACATTTTGCATGTTCCGACTGCACAAACCCGGATTCCCATCAAAGCTTCCACCAAAGGCTTGAATGGATAGTGATTCCGGTATGAGTCCAATCAACCGATTGTTTGTCAGATCAAGAAGGCTGAGTTTGAGCGATGACAAAGTGGTAGGAATTTCACTGGAAAGTTGGTTTCCAGATAGGTTCAAGGAGTTTAGGTTATGTAATGATCCAAGACTTGATGGGATTTGGCCAGAAATATTGTTGTGGGCAAGGTTTATTTCAGAGATACCAACACATGAGCCTAATGAGTCTGGTATGGTACCAGACAACATATTTTGGTCCAAATGAAGACTGCTTAATTTCTTCAAATTCCCAATTGTTTCTGGGATTGGACCCTCAAACTGGTTCACACTCAGCTGAATTGAGACCAATGAGGTAGCTTCAGAAAAAGTATCAGGCAACTCACCTGAGAATCTATTATTAGCTAAGAGCAACAATGACAAAGAGTTTGCCTTACCAATATCTGGTGCCAGAGGACCTTCAAATTGATTCATAGCAAGATCAATGATGATAACATTTGGCAAGCTCCACATTCCAACAGGGACACTACCCGAAAGCGAATTGTTACTCACACGAAAGCGATTCAAAGACTTGCAATTGGCGTAGTTTTCTGGGATCCCACCTGTGAAATTGTTCTGCAGCAGAAGAAAATCAACCATTTTTCCGTTGTTGCACATGTCAGGTGGTATAGGACCAGTCAGATAGTTCTCTGATACATCAATATAATCCAAGCCTGCCCAAGAACCAAGCTTTTGAGGAAGAGTACCAGTGAGCTTGTTCTTGTAAAGTGAGAGCTTAACAAGGCTCTTGAACTCCCCAAACTCCTCAGGAATCTCTCCTTCTAATTGGTTTTCAAAGAGCTGCAGAGAGGCAAGCTGGGTCAAGGACCTCAGCTCAGAGAGATCACCTTCAAGCTTATTAGTGGAGGCATCAAAATTCACAAGGCTTGAAAGGCTACCAAGCCCAGCTGGGAGTTTCCCAGTAAGCAAATTTTCATAAAGCTCAAACTGCCTGAGCTTCTTGAGATTTGAAATACTTTGTGGAATTTCACCAGACAGTTGGTTACCAGAAAGCTCCAGATTTTCAAGCAGAGTAAGGTTTCCAATACTCTCTGGGATTTGTCCAGTGATGCTGCAATTTGTGAGGTACAGCCAATAAAGCTTGTCAAGCTTTATAACCTCTGCAGGAAATGAGGTTGGCTCAAATGGGTTGTCTCCAAGGCTCAAGAAAGTTAATTGGGTAAGATTTTCTAGTGATTTCCATGGAAATGCCCCTGAAAATCTGCTACCATTCAGACTCAAGAAGGTTAATTGGCTCAGAGATGACAAGTCAGGAACTTTCCCTGTAAATGAATTGTTACCCAAATCCAACTGCTCCAAACTCGTGCAGTTTTTCAAGTCGTCTGTTAGGCTTCCGTACAAGCCATTCCAGCCCAAAGAAAGCTTCTTTAAATATTGAAGCGAGCAAATTGAGTCGAATGGAAGAAACCCAGAAAGCTTTTGTTGAGAAAGGTTGATTTCAGAGACGAGGCCATTGGAGTTGCAGACAACACCAGTGAAGTTGCATATGGGAGTGGCTTCTGTCCAGGAAGTGAAGACACTTGGGTTTGAGTTTTGAAGGGCGGTCTTGAGCTTGAAGAGCGGGTCAAGCTCGTTTGACGTGGGTGGGGAAAAAAGGCACAGGCCGGGGAAGGGCAGGAA